ACGAATATTAATCCGTATCATTAGTCAGAGAACGCCAGTGTTTCAGCGGGAGGTTCATCCAGTGTTTAATGGGTGTACAGGTCCCACAGGAATGATACTTGGCGTCGCTCTGGCACCAATGCCCCGTGTTGGCGAGTCCTCGGTGAAGTATAAACACTCCAGTCCTGCGAGAGGAATGTGGTGTGGGTCCGTCCATTCACACATTCCTCCTGTACTGAGAGCTGTGTGTCGTGACAATGTTTATGTGTGCTTGTTCTTCAGTTCACAGGCTGGAGAATAGACAGCTAACATCACAACTGCTACCGTCGCTATCACTACAGAAACAAGACAATAACACCGTCTAATACTGTCGCAATATCCCAAGAACTAGCGGTAATGGAAAACCCTAAGTACACAGCATTAACACCAGCGACAGGAACAATGTACCAAACACCTACTAAGGCGAGCGCCCCCTACACACCGCCACCATAACCTCTCCCGCCCGCCAGTACTGTACTCCCGGCCCAGCACTATGCAGCCTCGGATGCAAACGTCACCACCCTGTTACCAGTCTATTACTCAACCACTCCACCCCATCACCCCCGTCAACCGTGTTTATGCTCAACCACGTGTTTGTTTGTGGCTTTTATGTGGGCTTGTTTGTGTATGTTTTGTAGGAGAACCACCACCTGTGCTCGAGTGCAAAAGGCTGGTCGGCTGCAACACCTACAAAAAGTCTCCTATACAGGGAATCTCACGTTCCCTCTCTCGTGATGAACCTCAAATAAAGGAAGGTAACACGTGGGGGGCCCTTATATCCTCCTCCCCCTCTCTCAGTCCGATAACATTCTCCCCACGACACAAAACGATCTATACTCTTGCTGCGTGTGAAAGAACCCCACCCCCCCCACCCATACGTGCCTAACTCTGGTGACTGTCACTATGAACAACAGTCATACGTGGTGGCAGGGGGCAGGACTACACCCCAACACTGCATATGTTTACACTCGCCTCACGTCTGGGCAATCTCCCTTGGGTATGTTGTTTGTCCGCTCCTCACCAAAGATTTCTCCTGGAATAATACACTGCTAAAGGGGCGTACTACATGGGAACTTGATGCCCCCCTGTCGTAAGTCCCACATTATTTAAAACAAAATAAAGAAAATCAATAAACAGTCGATAATATTAAAATGAAAGATGACTGACGGGAAAGGTAAATTCATTCACTATCACTTACCTGTTCGAACGTAATATTCCTAAGCGATTCATCATAATATACACAACTCTCTCTCTCTTTCTCTCTCTCTCTCTCTCATCGTTATCACTACCTAGATAATAGATATGAAAGAGACATCCTCATTTTCACGCCGTCTGCTACCCCGTCACCAGTACCACCACACAGTACAGTCCCTTGTGGTTTTCTCTTGTAATAAAGGAGAACCTGTGACGCTGAGGGAGTACTGTAACACATCACACACACAGTCTGAGCCAAGTACTGTACCGTACCGTTAACAGTACCACCTCTGTCAGGTCTCAAGTGTGTTCACGGTACTGGCTGTGAGGAGTCGAGATATTGTATTACTAGAACACCATTATATTACGACTGATACATGTCCCATACATCTCTCACTCACCCCCTCACCTCTCCCACCCCCGTCCTCCTGTTACTAACATCTCTCACTACTTTCGTTATTTACATTATTCCTTATCTACCTTATGAAGACAATTCCTACTACCACTATCATCACAGTTAACTCGCTGCGTTCCCCCTCCCTTGTTTCCCTCATCAATGCTACCAGGAAAGCTCACCCCTTGCTAGCAGGATCTCTCACTGTTAACATCCCTCCTCCCTCATCCGAGTTACTGGCAACCTGTGTTAGAGTGAAGGACAGGATGCTGTTGGTGGTGGTGGTGGTGGTGGTATAGTTTTATGAATGGGTGGCTAGATGAGTGAGGTGAGATGGGGTGGGATGGCAGTCTGGTGGTGGCACTGGCAGGCAGACAAGGGAGGTAGGGGAGGGGGGGGGGCGACAGGCAGGCAGGCAGGCAGGCGGGCGGCATCAGAGACTCAACACCCCTACTCACAGTCGCGTGCTTATGAGGAAGTTGTCATTTAGTGAGGAGCTGCCCTGCTACCCTCGCCTCGCCCACCCTCCACCTAACAAAAATATCCGCACCGTTTGAGGGGGAGATCTGACCCGTTTTAAATAGTTTTAGAATCTGTCTCTTTTTTTTTCAGCACAGATGAAATATTTTCGCAGTATCATCGAGGTATTTTTCACGGCACCAGAGGGAAAATTTACTAGGTATGGATGGGATATTTTTCATGTTATTATTGGGGTGATTTTATGGTGTCAATGGTGGTACTTTTCACTGTATAATAGAATATATTTAACAGCATTATTGAGATATATTTCATGGCATTAATAGGAAATTTTTCGTGATACCAATGAAGTATTTTTCACGTTATCAAAATGGAATTCTTCACAGGAACTGACCACCGACAAGGTACTTTTCTTCAGTACTACCAAAGTATTTGTCTAGCACTGATAGGTCATTTTCCCACGGTACTGACACGTTATCTTTTCGGGTTCTTACATAATATCTTTCATCAATCCCGAGTGATCAGTCCCCGTTAAAATCATAACCAGTTCAGTGATAGTTTGTTTACCTTTTGCCAGAGTGGACGCTTAAGGTCTTCGAAGTCACGGGAATAACAAATCTCACACTGAAATAGATTTTATTGAGTCAGAAAAGTATCTTTGGTGTATATTTCGTTGTTAGTTAATAATAATCACGCGCCACTAAACCAATTTCAGATGGACTATTTTGGGCTTTAATAATGGGGTATATTTCATGTTATTGGAATATGTCGAGATGTCGTTTGTAGAGCCACGGGAAGACAGAGGAGGATGGGGAAGGAGGACGAGGAGGAGGAGAAAGAGAGGAGGAGGGAGAGGAGGAGAAGGAGGAGGAGGAGGTCAGGAGGCGAAATCAGGACGGCACAAGCGTCTCTGTGCTCAGTAAGCAGACCTCCTCAGCTCCCCCGCCCACGCCACACATGATAACCCGGTCACAAGACACAATAATGGCTACGTGGGAGCATAAAAACGCGGATGATAAGCTAGACTAATATACCTGGGCGTGGGTAGCCAGAAGTCCTGTCTTGTTAGTTTACCTGGGCTACTCCTCAAGGGCCGGCGCGCCGTTAGTCCCCGTAACTTGTTGAATCGGTTGATTAGTCTCGCCCTGATGACTATAATCACCTGAGATGTTGGGCCCAGATGCAAAACAGGAAGGAGGAGATCTTGTCTTGGTCGGGGCCCTGACGTTGACGAAGTACCTCTCACACCAACCACGCCGAGACAAAAAATAAATAAATAAAATGATAGAATGGATATCGTGGTGTGTGTGTGTGTGTGTGTGTGTGTGTGTGTGTGTGTGTGTGTGTGTGTGTGCGGACAACGCAGCAATCTGATGGCAGTTCTTTTTTTTTTATACCCCATTTTTGTCAAACTAATTAGTTGTATCTCTTTTCAATTTATAATGAACATTCTCTTGATCTTCAGACACCGGTACGTATATAAGAGGGTGGAATGTTTACTGTAAGGCATTTGGCACGAGCTAATAACCAGACCATACAGTAATTCCGTCCCTCCATCCGTATATCTGTCGTCATACAGCACATCTCAAAAACTATCTGATGGATCGACTTGAAACATGACGTGTACTAACCTTAGAGTACCAGTATCAAGCGAATGTTCCTACACCCCTAAGCTGCTCTTCTATCTATATAGCTTCATAAACAACTAAGGTCATCAAGCAGCGATCACTAAGTCTCGGTTTCTACACTACACAACTTTTAAAAATCAATAAAGTTATATTTTCGAGGTTACTGCCGTTTGTACTTTATATAATTATTTGAGTGGTAAGACAGGTGTGTGGTCGGCACAGGTACAGTACATTAAAAAAATCCTCGCAGGCAGGTAAGCATGTGGCTGCTACCTTCACCTGCAGCTGTTAAGTAAAGTCGGGCGTTGGGCTGACAGGTGGTAATAGTAATCCACTTCAACATGAGAGACAGAGATAAAGACAAGTAAACAAAGGAGAAATTCAAATGAATAATAATAATAATAATAATAATAATAATAATAATAATAATAATAATAATAATAATAATAATAATAATAATAATAATAATAATAATAATAGTAATAATAATAATAATAATAATAATAATAATAATAATAATAAACCAAGTAAAAACAGACGAAGAATAAAGAAAAAAAAAGTTACTAGCAAAAACACATCACAGTGACCACGAAAACAGATTAACAATGGGAACGTTTTCAATATCGAGAGAGACACCCTGACCCCGGATACGTCACCTTACAGGGGCCTTGGTGCTGCCGGTTTACACTGAACCTGTAAACTTCTGGTAAACTCGGCGGCGTTTGATGTGGCCATGTGTCAGTCTGTGTCCTGGTGCTGCTTGTGTTGTGGTGCTGTGTTGACAAGTGGTTCTATGTCAATGTTGTGAGAGAGAGAGAGAGAGAGAGAGAGAGAGAGAGAGAGAGAGAGAGAGAGAGAGAGAGAGAGAGAGAGAGAGAGAGAGAGAGAGAGAGAGAGAGAGAGAGAGAGAGAGAGAGAGAGAGAGAGAGAGAGAGAGAGAGAGAGAGAGAGAGAGAGAGAGAGAGAGGAGAGAGAGAGAGAGAGAGAGACTGACTTCCCACTAGTACAATCATCTCAGTTCATTGGACTTAAAGATAGTATCAACAATTTAAAAGGTATTTGTGTTGTCATTCTCCCGAGAAACTTGACGGACATATTGTTACACTGCAGAAGAGCTGGCGAAATCCCCTCTTATCCGAGGCTCACACACACACACACACACACACACACACACACACACACACACACACACACACACACACACACACACACACACACACACACACACAGCCTCCGTGACCGTGGTGACTGGCCGGTAAACTCGCCCTTCGTATAAAGTGATTGCCTGGTTATTTTCGTAGCAAAGTGGCGACTACGGGGAAGTGAGGTTGAGACTGGCCAGCTCCTGGTGCCCTCAAGTGCCAGAAGAGATTTACTGCCACCCCTGGAATGTTATGCTGCCTCGTTGCTGGCTTCTGTTTCTGTTGTTCCGGCTTTTGTTTCTGTTGTTCTGGGTCCTGTTTCTGTTGTTCTGGCTTCTGTTTTTGTTGTTCCGGCTCCTGTTTCTGCTGTTCCGGCTTCTGTTTTTGTTGTTCCGGCTCCTGTTTCTGCTGTTCCGGCTTCTGTTTCTGTTGTTCCGGCTTCTGTTTTTGCTGTTCCGGCTCCTGTTTCTGCTGTTCCGGCTCCTGTTTCTGCTGCTCCGGCTCCTGTTTCTGCTGTTCCGGCTCCTGTTTCTGCTGCTCCGGCTCCTGCTGTTGTTGCTGGTGCTTCCGATTATTACTTCTCACTTAAAAGAAACTCCTGTCCTTCAAACTTGCCACAACCTATACTTTACAAACTATTAAACGACACACACACACACACACACACACACACACAGACACACACACACACACACACACACACACACACACACACACGACGGCATCAAGGTCAAAAGCTTTAAATATCTCCAGCCACGACTCATCACTGTGTTGATATTCGTGACCGAGTGGGAAGATGTTTAGTCACCTTTTTTTTTGTGAGGGGTAACTATTTCCGTAGACCCATACCCTCTTTCTCTCCGTCTGTTTTAGAGGGAAGGGAGGGGGAGTGGGGAGGGGAAGGGGGAGGGGAGGGAAGGGGGGAAGGGAAGGGATGAGAAGGGAAAGGGGTATCACGCCTACGCAAATACATTAATTTTCTAGCCTACATACCATCATATCTCCCATTACTATTTATACAAGAACTAGCACGTATGATCCTTTCTACCCACAGAACTAGAATAAATAGGAGCTAGTTGTATTTTTTTTGTCGTATTCTGAATAATCGCCATACGGCCCACAGCAATCAATTAACAAACCAGGTGTATAGAAGGAGATCAGGTTAGGTTAGGTTAGGTTAGCTAGGGGACTCAAACCCACATTGAGTGAGAGCCTTTAAAATTCTATTGTGTGTGTGTGTGTGTGTGTGTGTGTGTGTGTGTGTGTGTGTGTGTGTGTGTGTGTGTGTGTGTGTGTGTGTGTGTGTGTGTGTGTGTGTGTGTGTGTGTGTGTGTGTGTGTGTGTGTGTGTGTGTGTGTGTGTGTGTGTGTGTGTGTGTGTGTGTGTGTGTGTGTGTGTGTGTGGTAGGTAAGTAACGGCATTCCTCCATCGAAATACAATATCACTCTTTCCCTCTCCCTCCTCCTTGACGCAGTAGGGGGGAGGCAGGAAGGAGTGTTATCATGAGGGTGTGCTAGCTTGTTTATATGACTGTATCTTACACTAGGGGGTGGTCTTCCCTCCCCCTACCTTACCTCCCTCCCTCTATCATAATCCTCCACACTCCTTCCAGCACATCCTCATCCTCCCTATAACTTATCCTCCTTCCTTCCACTAACAATTCCTGCTGGCACATCCTAGCATATCTACCTCCTCCTTTATCGTATTCTCCATTCTCTCCACAACACCTCTTCCTCCGCGTCCTCATCCTCCTCGTCGTCTTCCTCTTACCAGTTTATATAATAATAATCGTATAGGGTTTCGATAGGTCAGGTGATCAATATTAGATTAGGTAAGGTAGGACGGTGAATCCTTGCCGTATAAATATTAAGTTACATCATCGCCTGCTTCACTGTGTCGCGGATTATTGTTCAATCTGGAATAAAAGTCAGGAATTCAAGCCACGTGTCCCGGGGCAGAGTGTGTGAGGTTTCATGACTGAGGAACAATTTCTCAATTTATGTTCTAAGGCGAATCTGGGCCACCTGTCTGCGGCAACATGTCACACACACACACACATCATCCCTCGGGGCAACACGACTGAGGCATCACTACCTAATATGTCTTGTGGAACCTGTCTCAAGGCAATGTATCTCAGAGGACATGTCTTCGTGCAACATGAGCGGAACAACGTGACTGAAAGAACATGTCTTCAGCAACGACGTCTTATATTAAGTCTTGTGCAACACCTCCTCGGGCAACACAGTTCAGGCAACATGTCTTATGCAACATCGGGAGATAGAGCTGTGACGGGGTGATGAAGATATATATTATATCCAGCCGCTGGTGGCCACGCCGCTGGTCAGTTCAAGTAGTAATTTGAGACTGTGGGTCGAGGCCTGCTGGAGGGCAGCTGGACCAGCTGACACGGTGGTCGCCGCTGTCCCACGGTCAACCACTGCCGAGTGTCACACACTAATGCTGACACAGTAGCATCATTAGCTATCACTATTATTACAGCAGCAGCTATATTATTTAGATGTACTGTACTAGAAACTCACTTATATAACATTAATATTACAGACGAGTGTCATTTATATAATATAATAACCTCTCTTCACTTCACCTCATCCCTCACCCCAACTTCACCCTCTCCCTCACCTCACCCCAATCCCCCACCCCACCTCACCCTCTCCTCTCACCTCACCCTCACCCCACCCTCACCCCACCCTCACCACACCCGTGAACTGAGGCACTGACTGGCAGCCCCTCCACTTATCCTCCCAAATGGGCAACTTGGTCAACAGCAGCGGGTCACGACGAGCGCGATGGTAAATAAATACTTAGAACTGTAAATATAAATAAATGCAAAAGTCAACAAAAAAATCAACCCAAATATTCATATCCACAAATAAACAACTGCAGAAGCAAATTGAAAATAAATAAACAAAAAGCTGCAATATTCAGATTTAATGCAATATGTCTTCTCCTACGTTAATGGATAAATCAGATTTCCCCATCAATCAACATCAGACGACGAGGCAGAGTCAGAATCTCGAGTCAACAGAAACATCTGGAGTCAACAGTAACATCACGAGTCAACAGAAACATCACGAGTCAACAGTAAAACATCTCTAACATCATTAACATCATAAGTCAACATTAACATCACACAATAACACCTGGTCAAGTGTACCCTATAAGAGCAGTGATCTCTAAGACCTGTCGTCCATATACCATAACAAATAACACAGATTCTAAGTCTTCCTCTATGTCATAAAGGAATGGTCAATAAAGTATCGCTGGGAGGAATACTATTGTCTAGGCTGGTCAAATATAAAAGGAGTGTGGGGTGATCTTTAACCTTTGACTCTTTCCATGTTAAAAATTGGATCTCTCTCTCTCTCTCTCTCTCTCTCTCTCTCTCTCTCTCTCTCTCTCTCTCTCACCTGTACACTGGAAGGAGGAGGTTTCACACGTCTCACACATAAACAAGACACCGTCACTTCCTGGCATTAAGATATATCATGATAATAAGGCAATTTCTCCACCCGGTAATGAAATGTGACAAGCGGGCGTGAGTGCGGGCGGTGGTGGTAAGGAGGGGGGGGGTTAGTGGAGTGGAGGAGCGGGTGGATGGTAGTGGAGGGTTGGTGGATAGCTGAGGGGTAGTGGTGGAGGCTAATGGAGGTGAGGGTGGACAGTGGGTAAGAGGGACAGGCAGAAGTTGGGATGGAGGGGACTGAGGGTAGTGGAGGGGTAGAATGAGGGTAGTGAAAGGTGGAAGTATGGTATAGTGAATGCGGGTGGTGGAGGCCGGGTGAGGGGTGAAGGGCCATGTGGAGGTGTGAAGGGCCGTGTGGGGTGAAGGGCCATGGAGGGGTGTGAAGGGCCATGTGGAGGGGGAAGGGCTATGTGGAGGGGTGTGAAGGGCCATGTGGAGGGGTGTGAAGGCCGGGTGGAAGGCCATGTGGAGGGGTGTGAAGGGCCATGTGGAGGAGGAGGGTCACCCGTGGTCTTCACCGTCAGAGTAGCACTATAAAACACCACGACCTCCGCCACACAACTAGATCCCATCTCCCCCGACCAGTGGATTCTGCGACCCTCACACCAGGGGGCGCCCGTACCACAATGAGTACCTACCTCCTTCTTTCTTCTTCTTCTTCTCTCTCTCTCTCTCTCTCTCTGTCCCTTTGTCTGTCTCCCTCTCTGAATATGTCCACCTCCTCTTCCTGTCTATCCGTCTCTCCTGTCTTTCTCTCTGGGTATAATTCCTTGGTCTGTTTCTGTCTGTCGGTGTGTGATCAGCCCGTCTAACTGGTAGTCTGTTTTTTTTTTAATGATGCGTCAGATCAATTGAATGTACCCGTCTGTTCCTGTCTATCGTTTAATTAGTGTATGTCTATTGTTCGTCCTTGTCACTGGTCAAGACTTTCTGAGTGAGTTAAGTTAGCCCAGTAGGCCCCCCTCCCTCCCTCTCCTTACCTTCCTGACTTCACTGATGGATGTTTTGCTTTCCATGTGAGGGAGGGATACACATTGCCAACACTTCCATTTTATTTTAATCGTCTGTCTAATTATACGTCTGTCTGTTTTATACACGTAACTGTCTTCTTATATCCTATGTCTGTATGACTGTCTATCCCGCCTCGCCCCCAAAAAGAAAAAACTGTATCACGTTAGCTCTGAACTGTCGCCTTTGACGTGAGAAAAGTAGATTAAGGTAATTTATTTGGCGTCGTTTGTGTGAGAAACAGGTAGATTAGATGATTTATACGACAGGTAACACATCAACCATCCTTAAAAAAAAAACAAGAACTGGAAAGTCGACTCCATTTGGGAACTCATATGGCAGAGAGAGAGAGAGAGAGAGAGAGAGAGAGAGAGAGAGAGAGAGAGAGAGAGAGAGAGAGAGAGAGAGAGAGAGAGAGAGAGAGAGAGAGAGAGAGAGAGAGAGAGAGAGAGAGAGAGAGAGAGAGAGAGAGAGAGAGAGAGAGAGAGAGAGAGAGAGAGAGTACAGACAAGGTACTTCAGGGCCGCCGCTTGCCAGTCAGATAGCATTATATGTGTGTGGCACTCATATAATCACCGCCTGGCACTATACCCTGGTCACTCAACCCATGACATCACCCCCCTCCCCCTGGTCACTCAACCCATGACATCACCCCCCTCCCCTCTCCTCCATAAACACCCTCACCTCATGACTCACTAATTCAGACTTTACCATCTACTCAGTCAGACTTATTCAGCCTTTCTCACTATATATTTCTTTCCTACCCTTTATTTCATTATTTACAACAGCTTATCTAGTGTTTCTGTGAGGTGTTATGGTTGTGTTTGGATGATGTCGGTGATTTCAGTCAGGTGATTCTTGTTGATATCATCTGACTCAAATTGTTTGGTGACGTTAATGATCCCCCTTGTGATGTCATTCAACTCAAACTTGGTGACGTCAATGAGTTCTTCTCACGTGACCCAGGTGTTGGTGACGTCATTAACCCTTATATAACATGAATGAGTTACTTTGTGTCAGTCATTGATGGATTATGTTTTGACTGACTGACTGACTGACTGACTGACTGACT